ATACTGAATTGCAACTGTTAAGATTGATGTTGGCTGTAAATGTTAAAGTGAAGATTAACATAACTTTCTAAATGAAATCACACTTTTTTACATATTTCAATTCCTTGCAATATTTGGCATAAAAAGTTATTAAGGATATGATAATCAAAAATTAATAGCTTAAGAAATATTTTTATATAAAAAGTTGATATAATTTATTATATTGTAATTTTATATAAACTTCTTATAAATTGTTTATTTTTGAATTATTTTATCTTAATACTTTTATGCACGAAATGATAAGAAGGATCAAATGTAAAGAAGATGTACTAATTGAACGAGCAGCTGTAGGTGCTTTTAAGAAAAAATATATAACTGCATCTCGTAACTACAAATAACCTTTCCCTTAAATCTTCCAAATTCTCTAAAACTAAACTCTTAATTGTTAAAAATTTACATTAATCTTTACATAACGTTGATAGATCAGATTAAACTAATATTCTTATGTTTTTTTCCCATCAACTTTCAAACAACTTTTGTTTGAAGCAACTTTTGTTTTTTTTTTCATATCTTCCATATTTCTTGAAAAAAAGTGAATTGATTGAAATGAGCCTACTTTATATTTTCTTTACTATTATATAGTATTATTGTTATATATTATTATATTTCTACTATTGTGTTCATTTTATATTATGTTACAAATTTAAAAATGTTAAATTGGAATGTTTCGTTTTATACATAAAATTACATTGCTTAAGAAAATAGTCAAATATGAAAACATATAATGTATATAATTTTCATAAAAATTATAATTATAAATTGTCTTAAAGTTATTAATAAATAAATATATGAAATAACATATATGTAATTGATTTATATAGATAATAATAATTGATGAATAAAAGTCATTTAGCATATAACCGTGTAATAATATCCTTAAATTATCTATTTCTTAAGTGTCATTTTTAAAATTGATTATTTACGGACGTTATTATTTTTAAATTATACAACATGAATTGATTAATTTTAGTATATATCTGTACGTACTTCTATTTCAGTATATGTCTGTACATATCTCCCTGTAAACGAAGTTGATAGAAAGAAATTCGCAGAGTATGAATGTTTCTTTGATATTATTTACTCGTATTATTGTGCCTTTTAAAGCACTTCCTATTGATGGATTAACAAATGCTCATATAAAATATCAAAATCGGGTAACTCTTCATCACAATGGAAACATTTGAGTGAATCTGTATGAAAATGCAGATAATCATATAATCTATTTGAAAAACAAACAGATTTCACAAAAGAGAGAGAGAAAGAGAGAGAGAGAGAGATTATATAAATATTTACTTACCATGTTTTTTTAAATGTTTGTAATAATTAGCGTACCGAATAAAGTTTCTTAAACAAATAGTACAAGTATGCTTATCCACTTTCGCGTGATTTGAATAATAATGTTCTTTCCACGCTAACATAGTTCGAAAGGTTATTCTACAAATAATGCATCTGTAAAGTCTTATAGCATGGATTTTCTCGTGTTCGATTACATCTGCTTTTCTGGCGAACCGAATTTTGCATATGCGGCATGAATACACTCTCTTAGGCAAATCATGTAAGATGTTAGAAATATTATTCAATAGATCTCGAAAAGTATAATTATTCAAAGACGTGGACTCTGCTTCTGATTCCATCAAGCTCTTCGTGTGATTTGTATGACGTTTCAGCATGTATTTTTTGAGAATATTTTCCAATATCTTCGCAATTGTGATTTTTTGTTTATATTTTTTTACAATTCGTTCTAAGTGCCATCTTTTTTATAAGTTTGTCTTGTATAAAACGCTTTTCGGCTCTCTTGATAAACATATATATTGTTAGAAAATCATAATAATTGCAGAAAATCTTATAATTATTAAATATAATTATAATTATTAAATTGGAGAAAAAAAGATTGTTTAAAATGGCATCGCAGCAACTAGAATAATATTGTACTGTTATCTTACATATATAAATAATATTTTATTCTATTCTATTAGACTTGATAATATCGTAAACTTAACTGTTAGTGCTAATACAATGCTCTATATGAGCTCTATATTGCTATCCAAATGATAAACAAACCTGCTTTCACATTTATATTTTATAAAAGCCTCTAGAGCTTATGAAAACTTCTGTAATATTTATTCAAATAAGATAATGCGATTGATCGGTAAGAATGCAAAATCAGTGATGAAAAATACTTGTCATAACACTTGATAAATAGAATACGTCGGCTTTTGCACCTGCTATTACTTAAAATGTGTATGCGGAATCGTGATAGACGATAGATTGTAGGACAATATTTCGATCATAAACAATTTATTTATTATGTTTATGTACAAGATGATTCTTTAACGTATTTTCGAAATACATACGGATTTTTCATGGATTTCGGCAATTATGATTCTACTAAATAAATAAAGCTCGTTAATTCTTGGATTGTAAATGAGATATTATTTAAATATTTTCTAAATAAACTGTAAATGTTTAAATAAGGATAATGATAGTATTATGAAAAATATGTAAGATTTATTTGTCTTTAATAAAAATTAATCTGATTATCACGTTTTTCATCTTTTTATCTTTGAATGATGAATTGCTTACAATGCCAAATCGACATTAAGGAAAAAAATATACTGCAATGAACAAAATAATAAAGTCAGTTTATATAATTTGGGTTGATAATGTTCTTTTAGTATAATCATTTAATATATATGCATATACAAACTATGTTATTTATACATTTTTGCCTTGGAATGTTTAGTATATACAATAATTAATAACTAATATTATCTCTATTACTGTCTTATTATTTAATAGATAATGAAGACTCACCATATGTCTCCAAATATCACGTATCATGTATTCGTGTGATTTGTTATATAATACAAAGTAATTGTAAACGGAAAAACTTAGAAACATAAATGTAAATAAATATAAGCATATATTTCTGGCATTTTCTAAAAAATTTCCTAATATGTATAATTTTAATGATTCTATACTGCGATACATGTTCAGCAACTTCAAATTTTATGATAAAAATATATTAAAAAATTATATCGAAAATATAAATTAAAAATTTGTCATATATAATTTTTCATCTTCGAAAAACTTGACTGTAAAATTCAGGAAGCAAATAATTAAATTATGTAGTCATTAATTATATCGGTAATATCAATTAAAAATTTCGTATGTATACCAGTTGTTATTTTCGAAAAATTTGAATTTAGATATCATGATATTTTGAATTAAATTATATAATCATTAATCATTCCAAAAATAATAATTATAAACGCTATAATTACATGTATACATTATTAATAATTATAAATTTTATAATTATTAAATGCTGTAATACTATTATTATTTTATTTTATTATTATATAATATAATTAAAGTGCAATTACAATTATTAATTAATAATTATAATTAATATAATATTATAATTAAAATAATAAATATTATTAATAATAAATATAAATAATAATAAATATAAATAATAATAAATTATTAATAATAATATAAAATAATAAATATTATAATATAATTAATAATTATAATTAGTAATGTAATAAATAAATTACGGTACCATTGAAAATTGTGTAAAATTCAAGCATAGGAAAAATATAACTAATTTTTCAAGTTTGAGATTTTTTAACAAGCTTTATATGAAAAACAATTGAACTTTATATATATTAGTATATATGTGTCTCCCCTTATATATGTATATCTCAAAACATAAGATATGTATCAGTATGCAATTACTCGAATTTAAACATGATGAAATTAATCGGACTAGCCTAGTAGCTCTCTCATATAAACTTTTTTTTACAGTATTTGCAAATCATTACCACATCTATGAATCATTACCGCATCTCTTTCGGCTTTGGATTATTTGACATTTTTTTCTAGACAGATAATAGATTCGTTAACTTCGGCAATGCGTTTCGTTAGAATATCCTTTGCTTCTTTCACGATTCTATGCGTCAGCCTAATCGAGTTGAAACTTTATCCTTTATATGTTTTTCCTTTATATATATATATATATATATATATATATATATATATATATATATGTTGTGTATTTTCCTCTCTCTTTCATAATTTTAAAATATCATCTGAAATCTACTTACAATTTTTCTTGTTTAGTCCCCTTCTTCTGGTGTTTTATATGAATTTTGCAGCAGTATTTAATGTTAAATTTCCAAAATTACAGAATAATATATCGTTCTTAATTATTTTATATTGCTTCTTCTTTCTTATTTCTCTCTCTCTCTCTCTCTTTCTTGCATCTTAATCAAAGCTTATTATCATTTCATTTTTTTTTGTTCCAATAATTGTTAAACAGGCCAAAACATAATATTTTTTTGAAAATAATGACGAAATTATATTTAGTACCAATAATTTCCATATAGTATGCAAGATTCTTTTCAATCCTCAATACAAAAAGTAATCATTCGTCAATCAAAACATTCATTAATAAATCTAATACATCTAAATAATTCTGAAAGAAATCGATATAAAGAAAAATAAATTCGAGAACTGGAAATCTTCTTATTACCTCTTATTTTTTACAGTTTATTTTTAAAATGTGCATAATTTTCGAGACTCGGCAACCAGCAGCATGGTCTTTCGAGATGTTCGTTAATAAGATGCAATCGCATTGAGCTTTTTGTATTGAATGTCGCCACACAGATCGAACACTCAAATGGTTTTCTGTGTATATGTAGATGATTATATAATTTCTTTGATGTATGGAAAGCTTTGTGACAGTATTTACATTGATACAGTGTTTTATCATGCTCTTTCCTTCGATACATTAATCCCTTATAAGCCTTACAACAAAATATACATAAGTGTTTTAAATTGTGCTGCCTTCGATGGTGTCTCTTAAGTTTTCTCGGATCAGGAAAGATTAAATTACAGCGATTGCAACAATTGTTATGATCGGTTAAAATGTGATTGTTCAAATCTGCTTGTTGTGTGTATCCTTTGTAACATACGTAGCAACCAAACGTTTCTTCGGAAGGGCTCATTGCTTGATTTACTGACATCTTTGCGGTTCTATATTAACAATTCTTTATATAATATTTCTTTTTACAAAAGTTTATCAAATTTTTTTTAAAAGATAATACTTGTATAATACCTAACCAATGTATTTTCCTTTAAGATTCTCGTTCCTGATCTTCTTCCACTTTCTTTATTTGTCAAGATTTTATTCAATAGAATATTTATAATTCTTCCTAATCAGGAACACGAATAAATTTATATTGTTAAAAAATACAACCGTATTAAGTTATTTTGTAATTCCGAATAATTTCACTTTGATTAGAATATGACATTTCAGCGTGTACGAGCTACACAAATTTACAACGATTGCTTAAGAATTATTTTGTACAGTGTTCTATACCTCATCCGGACATATCCATAAACAAACAAATTCTGTTTATGTTTATGTATGTATGGCTTTATTAAAGTTTTCGCAGTGTTTCTTTAGATAGCATTTTTGATTGAATCTGGCACTGCAAATCGTATAAATATATGACCGTTGATCGGTATTAATACGTTGATGACAAACGACGCAACTCTTGCTGCGGAAACGCTCGTTAAGCAAATAGTACAGATATAGGGCTTTTGATCGGAATGCCAGGACACATGTTTGTCTAATTCTTGCTTTCTTCGGAAACCGCGGTTGCACAGGTCACAATGATGCGGTAAAATTTGAAAATGATAAAGCCGATGCACGTGCAAGGACACCTTTCCAGCACCTTTTACTTAAAATGTGAAATCGTGATAGTTCGATGATGTAGGGTGATTTTTTAAATCATGAACAATTTTTTTATTTATTATGTATATAAGATGATTTCTTCAAATGTAATTTTCGAAATGTACACGGATTTTTTCGTCAATTACTACATACATGAAGTTCGTTATTAATTTCTTCTTGGATTGTAAATGAAATACTATTTAAATATTGCCTAAACTGTAAATATTTAATTAGGAATAATGATAATATTGTGAAAAATATGTAACTTATTTGTCTTCAATAAAAATTAATCTGATTTTATCACGTTTTTCAATTTTTTATTTTTAAAAACTTATTACTTATGATATGAAATCTAAAGCGGCATTGAGGAAAAGAGATGGACAAAATAATAATCTTAATTTGGTTTTGAGAATGATCTCTAGTCATTTAATACATATGCCTATGAATTATATTATTTATACACTTTTGCATTTTTTTGGAATGTTTTATATATACAATAACTATTATTATCTACTACTTTCTTATTATTTATTAATGATATCGGCTCATTATCCGTTCTGAAATATCACATATCATGAATTTACGTGATTTGTTGTATAATACAAAGTATAATACAAAGTATAATACAAAGTAACTTCAGATGAAAAAACTTAGAAATATAAATATAAATAAATAAACATATATATCTAGTATTTTCTAGAAAAAAACCCAGGTAGTAAAGTTACGTCAAATAACATCTTAATAATGTTATAATGACGTCATTGTACGTCATTAAGACGTCTGGAGACGTCATCTTGCTACCTAGGGAACTTCCTAAAGTGTCAATTTTCAATGATGCTGCCGATACATGCCTCACAATTTCATGTTTTATGATAAAAATAAAATCCTGTTTTTATATTCACAAAACGTGTCTGTATTGTTCAAATTTTTTTAATTGTTGTTTTTCATTGAACTGAATAGAATTTTCATATTATCGTAAGCATTATATTATTATATCGTCATATTATTATATTAGCATATATAATGTATTATAAAAACTATTTATTTAATATAATTCGATAAGAAAGAATATATCGAAATATAAATCAAAAGTTTCTCTATATATGTTTTTATTTCCGAAAAATTTGGCTTTAGAATTCCGGATGTTAATAACTAAATTACATAATCATTATAATTATTGTAAATCTAATAATTATAATATCTAATAATAATATTGTAAAGCTAATAATTATAATCATTATAATTACATGTATATATATGCATATACCTAATTACATATGTATACATTATCAATAAATAATAGCAATAAATTAATCATTATAATATTTATATTACTAGTAATATAACTAATATAATGTAACTAATAATTATAATTATGGATATAATAATTAAATTATCACGATATCGTAAAGAATTGTATAAAATTAAAGCCTACAAAAAATATGACTAATTTTTCAATTTTGATTTTCTAACAAGTTTTCTATAAAAAAAAATTGTACTTTATATATATTGACACATATGTCCCCTCGTACATATGTCATAAGATACAGGATATGTGATTGTTTTATTTGAATTTAGTTCAAATATGATGAGATTAATCGAACTCGATTCAACTTTATTCTTGTGAATATCCGCACATCCCTAATTTTAAACGTTCGTGACTTTTGAGATAACGTTTCTGACCAAAACTGATTCCGCATTGCTGACACGTATACGGCTTTTCCTCGGAATGGACACGTTTATGCCTAGTCAAGTCATTCTTCACGCCAAAACCCTTGCCGCATATGTCGCATGTGTGACTTTTTTCACCCGTGTGCACCGTCAAGTGACCAAGCATTCGCTGTCTCCAGCGAAATCTCTTGGCGCAATAAATGCACTTATGCGGGAATTCGTCTGTATGAGTCTTGCTGTGTATATAGAGGGACGCTTTTGTCTTGAATGTCTTGCCACAGGTATGACATACATACGGGCGCTCACCGGTATGAATACGCCGATGATCCTCCATGGCAGTTTTCATAGCGAAGCTGCGGCCGCATATGTCACAAGCGTGATTCTTCACACCATCGTGCACGTGCTTCAGATGATAATACAGACTACCGCTCTGAATAAATTGTTTGCCGCAGATATGGCACGTGTATGATTTCTCTCCTGTGTGCGTGCGTACATGAGTCCAGTAGCTTTTCCGCGAGGGAAACTTTTTATTACAGAGTTTACAAATCATTGCCGCTTCATCGATAGATGCAACCCTTTTGATTTTGGACTGTTTGATATTTTTTTTTAAACAGGTAATAGATTCGTCCATCTCGGCTGTGTATTCCATCGAGATATCCTTTTCTTTCGCACAATTTGTGTGCGTCAATCTAATAGGATTGAAACCTTTGTCCTTTGTATTTTTGTTTGTTTGCTTGCATTGCTCATTGGTTGATTTATTCGACGAGCGCATTACGGGAAATGTATTTACCTGCGATGGTAAACATTCAATTGGTTGATCGTGAACAATATTATTTGTAAAAGAGGAGATATTTTTTGAATCTTCGTCGATCGTATTGATTACTTCAGTTTGGAACGAACAAATTTTATTCTTGTATTTTTCGGCAAATATCTTGTATCTTTGTCGAGAATAGCTATGGACAGTTGTTCGATCGTGTCTAATCGGATTCTTTAATCTGAAAAATAAAAAATAAGGACATGCTTAATAATAGACAATCATTTATTCATTACATTAATGCAATAATGTTCTAATTTTCAATAACAAAAAATCTATTAATAAGTAAATATAAATGTAAGTATATTTTCTAAGATAAAATTTTATATTTGTATATATACAGGGTGGACCAATAACTCCATCTGGAATATCTCCGTTATTTTTAAAGATACAAAAATTTTGTACTTGTAAAAGTTGTATGGTATCAAGAAGGCTGTAATATGCTACTAATAATTTTTTTATTAGGTGGAAGCGCTTCAGAGATTTCAAGGTCATCTTCATTTTTCTAATGGAATATCTCATTTTTTTATTACCTATTCTTATAGCTTATCTCGAGAGCTTTCCAAAAACTCTATAATAAAGTATTTCTTCATTGAGTACTTTTCGAGTTATGAAGATCGAAATCATTTCTTAATTTTACATAAACCATAAAATATCTAGTAAAATATTCATTTTTCGATTATCTTACCTTAATGCTTTTATGTACAAAATAATCAATTGGTATAATGAAAACATACAGTTGTTTTTAAGAAAAAATATGAAATTGTTAATTGCAAATTACATATTTTTTCTTAAAAACAACTGTATGTTTTCTTTACACCAATTGATTTCTCTCATTATATTGCATATAAAAGTATTAAGGTAAGATAATAAAAAAATGAATATTTTACTAGATATTTTATGGTTTACGTAAAATTAATAAATTATTTCAAGCCTCATAACTCGAAAAGTACTCAATGAAGAAATACTTCATTATAGTGTTTTGGAAAGCTCTCGACATAAGCAATAAGAATAGATAATAAAAAAGGGCAGGTTCCATTCAAAAAAATGGAGATGACCTTGAAATGAAATCTCTGAAGCGCTTCCACCTACAAAAAAATTGTTAGTAGCATATTACGGCCCTCTTGGTACCGTACAACTTTTATTAGTACAAAATTTTTGTATCTCTAAAAATAATGGAGATATTCCAGGTGGGCAGAGTTATTGGTCCACCCTGTGTGTGTGTGTGTGTGTGTGTGTGTGTGTATTTTTCTCTCTTTCATAATTTTAAAATATCTTCTGAAATCTACTTACAATTTTTCTTGTTTATTCTGCTTCTTCTGGTGTTATTTAATGAATTTTGCAGCAGTATTTAATGTTAAATTTCCAAAATTACAGAATATTGTATCGTTCTTAGTTATTTTATATTACTTCTTTTTTCTTACTTCTCTCTCTTGCATCTTAATCAAAACTTATTATCATTTCATTTTTTTTGTTCCAATAATTGTTAAACAGGTCAAAAGATAATATTTTATTGAAAATAATGACGAAATTATATTTAGTACCAATAATTTCCGTATGCAAGATTCTTTTAAATCCTTAATAAAAAGTAATCATTCGTCAATCAAAACATTAATCGATAAATCTAATACATCTAAATAATTCTGAAAGATATCAACATAAAGAAAAATAAATTCGAGCACTGGAAATCGTTTCTTCTTATTTCCTTCTTATTTTACAGTTAAATTTTTAAAATGTGCATAATTTTCGAGACTCGGCAACCAGCAGCATGGTTTTTCGAGATGTTCGTTAATAAGATGCAATCGCATTGAGCTTTTTGTATTGAATGTCGCTGCACAGATCCTACACTCAAATGGCTTTCTGTGTATATGTAGATGATTATATAATTTCTTTGAAGTATGGAAAGCTTTGTGACAGTAATTACATTGATACAGTGTTTTATCATGCTCTTTCCTTCGATATATTAATCCCTCAAAAGCCTTACAACAAAATATACATGAGTGTTTTAACTTGTGCTGCTTTTGATTGTGTCCCTTAAGTGCTCTCCGATCAAAAAAGATTAAATTACAGCGATCGCAAATATTTAAATTGTTATGATCGTTTAAAAAGTGACTGTCCAAATCTGCTCGTTGTGTGTATCCTTTGAAACATTTGTAGCAAACGAACAATTTTTCGGAAGAACTCATTGCTTGATTTACTGATATCTTTGCGGTTCTTTTTTGATATTTCTGTATAAAGTTTATAAAATTTCTTTTTAAAAGACACTTGTATAATACCTAAGTATTGATTTTCCTTTAAGAGTTTCGTTTCTGTCTCCTTTTCCACTTTCTTTCTTCATTTAAGATTTTATTCAATTGAATGTTTATAACTCTTTCTAGTCAGGAATTCGCGGATAGATTTATGTTGTTAAAAGATACAACCGTATTAATTTATTTTGTGAATCCGATTAATTTTACTTTGATTAGAATTACAGCATGTACGAGCTACACAGAGTCTATAACAATAAGAGTTTAAGAATTATTTTGTACAGTCTTCTATATCCGGTCATCCGGACATATCCATAAACAAACAATAAATCCTGTTTATGTTTATGTATGTACGATTTTGTGAAAACGTTCGCAGTGCTTCTTTAGATAGCGTTGTTGAGTGAATCTAGCACTGCAAATCGTACAATTATGTGACCATTGATCGGTATGAATACGTTGATGACGAACGACACAACTCTTGCTGCGGAATCGCTCGTTACAAATAGTGCAGATGTAGGGTTTTTGATCGGAATGCCAGGACACATGTTTGTCTAATTCTTGCTTTCTTCGGAAACCGCGGTCGCACAGGTCACAATGATGCGGTAAAACTTGAGAATGATAAAGCCGATGCACGTGCAGGGACGCCTTCTGTTTGAAGGATTTGCCACAGATCTCGCACGTGTGAGGTCTCTCGCCGGTATGGATGCGTCTATGCTCGTCCCTCGATGCCCTCGAGGCAAAACAACGGCCGCATACATCACAAACAAATTTCTTGACACCGTCATGGACCTCACGCATGTGTCTCCTCATGTTGGACGCCGATCGAAAGCTCTTGTCGCAGATAGAACAGTTGTAGGGTCGCGCACCTGTGTGAATGTTGCAGTGGATCAGCAAATTATACGAGGTGGAGAGTATTTTTCCGCATTCTTTACACTTGTAGGAAGTACAATTATTCTTTGTGATCTTCGAGCGAGTTAATTTCGCATATTTGTGTTCCGATATTTGTTCGCATTGTCCCATATTATCTCGAGAATCCAGTGTGCGATTCTCTTGAAGTTTCTGTCTTGTTTCAGAGTTATCCAGATAGGAATCAGCCAAATGATCGTTTTGTGATTCTAATATTTTAATCTTGAGATCGTCAAGATGAGTCAATGACAGATATTTTTTGCTGGATATTGTTGGTTGAACCTTATCTATATTAATCGATAATATTTCCGTATTGAATTCGTAGTTCCTTTGCGAATTGTCTCCAACATATCTCGCCTCCTCATTCGATACTTGACACGTCCATCTGAAAAGAGAGTCAACTTGTTACTTCACGGCGTCCAAACAGCGTGGCAGTTCGTGATTGAGTCTCTTATGATTAACTAAGTAACGTTTTTGTCGGAATGAGAGATTGCAATCGGTACAATGCCAAGGTTTCTCGTCAGAATGGATTAGACGATGTCGCTTCAATTCATACTTGATTCGAAAACAACGGCCACACACATCACAGGCGTGCGGCTTTTCGCCGGTATGCTTGGTAATATGCACCATCAGCGGCGATCGTGTGCGAAAGGTTTGCCCGCAATAGCTGCACTTGAACGGGAACACGTCCGAGTGCGTACGATTGTGCACGAATAGGGAGGCTTTCTGCTTGAACGTTTTGCCGCACACGTTGCAAACATATGGCCGTTCACCGGTATGAATGCGTCTGTGATCTTCGACATTGCGTCGTGTTGAAAACATGCGGCCGCACAGGTCGCACGATACTTTCTTGATGCCGGCGTGGGTCTCCTTTAAGTGTCGGGCCAGGCCCTGATTTACGCGAAATCGCTTGCCACACAAGTGGCAGGTGAACAATCGCTCGCCCGTGTGAATGCGTAAATGCCAGTAGAAGGTGTACGGCGAATTCAAATTCTTTCCACATTCGTCACAATGATAATACATCTTACCATCGTGTTCCATTCGGGCGCGCAGTACCGTATCTGTAGCTACGAATGACTTTCGGCTTCTTTTGGTGAATTCGGGATGCATCTCTCTTATATGGGCGTTCAATAGCTTTCTCTTTTTTGTAGTGTGTTTGCAATACTCACAAGAATAAGTTTCGGATCGTTTTTCCGAAGATTTTGTTGATGGAACATGATATTGATCTTCATCATTGTTCTTGATGTCTTCCATCAGATGATTGAAATTCCGATTCAAATTATGATTTGTTTCCCTCTTATCTTTTATCACTTTAATTTCTAAATCTTCTACGTTGGTCTTGTTACAAATCATCACATGACGTATGAGATGATATTTTCGTTTGAAGACGCGTTGACAGCTATCACAAATATAATCCTTTTTTACAGATTTACTCGTTGATTGCAGAAGTATTGATTGATACTTTAAGGAGTTTGAATCCGCTTTTTCATATCTTACAACATTGTAGTTATCCAGCAAATCGCGTGTTTCCCTTTCAGAGATTTCTTTAGTATTCTCTGCCATCAATGTTGAACTTCTCGCTGGATTGTTTTTGTACTTTATTATAACATTATTTGTCCGCAGAGCAGCGCTACGAGAGAAGCTGCATGTCACGAAAGATTTTTCCGTTGCTGGCTCACACCTGGAAAAACAACAAAGGCGGCAGGTTTGAATCAGGTTTCCTTCTAGGCATGAAGAACCATATAGAAGGAGAGGGAGATAAAGAGAAAGAAGGAACATTGCGTCCAGCGCACGCAGTTATCTCTAAGTGATCACATCTTTTATCGTTAAGATGCTCGCAAAGATTCGTTGTGCCGGCTCTTAATATGATTGTTCAGATAGCGCTTTTGTCGAAAGGCGAGACCGCACTTGATGCAGACAAACGGCTTGCTCTCGGAATGGATGAGCTTGTGTCGCGCAAGTTCGGATTTGACACGGAATTTCTTCGCGCATACGTCACACGCGTGGTTCTTTTCGCCGGTATGCGTAGTTATATGAGCCAGCACTTCCTGCCGTCGACGGAATCGTTTGCTACAATACGAGCACGCGTGCGGGAACTCGTTGGTATGAAGCTTGCTGTGAATATAGAGGGACGCCTTGGATTTAAAGGTCTTGCCGCACGAGTCGCAGACATACGGCCGTTCGCCGGTATGAGTGCGCCGATGATCCTCTCGCGTAGCCTTGGATGCGAACGATTTGCCACACAAGTCGCACATAAAGTTCTTCAGCTTCGCGTGCACGTCCTTCAAGTGCCTGGTGAGTCCGCCGGAATCACGAAACTGCTTGCCGCATACGTGACAAGTGAATGGTCGCTCGTCCTTATGGATCCTCATGTGACGCAGATACGAATCCTTCAATCTGAAGCACTTGCCACACTCGGCACACAGAAAAGATTCTTCTTTATGTACTGCTTTGCTGGTTTTGTATGGATCCTTATCCATTTCGTTATCGAAGGAACGCACCAGTTCATCGTCTGGAATTTGATCTATCTGGATCTTCTCCTTCTCACGCGTCATCGTTCGATGAGGCTCGTTCTTCCTATTAAAATCTCTTATAGAGTTCTGTGTGGGGATATGCTTTTTCTTCACCTCGTCACCTCTCGTCGATCTCAAGGGATCGTTCTCCAGTTGTTCAGACATGGCGGAAGGTTGATTGTGCGTCGTGTCCATTACGGCGACCCAAATCGGATCGCTGTCCTCGGTCGTCGCATTCTCAGTCTTTTTCAGGTTGCACATTTTCGGTTGGCATCGTTTTCTGTATGGCTTCCAAAATGCATTCTGCGTGTCCGGGGACACTTTAAACGGTGTCCGGACGCCGCATGACCTGCAAAATAGCCGAAACTTGACTCCAGATTTCGTACTTGCGGCGGACGATTGCCGTTTTGAGCTGGTTATATTTCGGCGCTTGTTTTTCTGGGTATAATTTTTAAAGCCAACCTCTGGGCGTTTCGGTACATTATCTTTTTCTCTCTATTCTGAATCTTTCATTAAGATGTCGTAAAAATTTTCTTGGTGTGCCCAACGCCGGCAAATCGTTCTTTTATCTCTTTTTTTTTTCTTTTAAAAGATTGAGTCATCGGTTACAATGCGTTACGATTGTATGTATTCAGTCAGATCGATCATATTTCCATCTTTTCGTAAGACGTACAGAAAACATTTAATAAGCAATGATATTTATATATTTTTATTCATTTATTCTATTAGCCACACTATAAGTATGGTAGTGGCGATTATAAGCAAAATTAGATTCACATAAACGAGCAAACAGTAAGAAAGAAACTTTGTTTTCCTTTTCATATGCAGCTAATAAATTATGGGAATATGTGAAATCATTACCTGTTAGATTTATTAATTTCTTCTACGCCATGTTCTCGATTTTTCACACCAATTTGCTGATCAGGCTGCAATAAAAAGATCTTATTATATATTTTACTACAAAGAAATTATTTTTTATAGTATTATACTGTTTTATTATATTTACTTGCGAGTTTGTCGTGTTTGATACAGTACTCGGAGTTATTGTTGTAACTAATGTGGAAACCTCCAAATTATCCAAAGATGCAGGATAATACTGGAAAGTTAAAAAATATATAATTAATATATTATTAATGTGCAAAAGAAATAAAAAAGAGAGAGAAAGAGAGAAGCATGCATTTTATATTCGAGCATATTCGAGAGTTTTAAGAAAATATAATCAGAAAACATAGTTGCTATAATAATTTTTGTTTTGTTTATATCTTCTTTTATCTTGTTTTACGTTACATCTTAGATTGCAGTAAAAATATACTATTATAATTTTCTAAAATTAAACAAACTTTTTAAAATAATGTATCACTTTACCTGTTGTTTATTTTCTAGCGTTTCTTGCATTTTCAGTAGTTTCTTCTCCGCACTTAGACATCCCTCGCTTAATTCATGCCAGGCCAACAATGTCCCAGCACAGTGATGACACAGTTTCAATGGCAATGTATCACTTTTGGATATCTGTGAAGTAAATAATGACTGAATAATGTACCATCACCAAGATACTCGATGCTTAAAAATTGCACTTTGGCAATCAAGTACTGTACACACGTGTATCGGCAAGTACTTGAGTATTTTACTAGGCAAGTCGTGTTCCACTCCTTCATCCTCGAAGATGGGTATTAGATTATCGCACGCATTGGCGCATGTCCTGCAGAAGTGAACCCACGCGAGGATTTCCTTCGTCTCGTGCTTGTGGGATGTCATTTCGTCGACGTTCTCCCCCGAGTATCGCTCGTCCTGGTCCTGCGACACCAGGAAGAAGTCGTCTTCGGTTTCCGACTCGTTGCGTTCCCGCTGCGTCACTATACTCTTCACAGTCTCGATTAGCATGGCATCCTCGCCAGAGGATTCCAACATCGTCGGGTTCTTGGGTTCCATGCCGATGAAGATGACGACCACGTGTTCGGCACGCGATCAATGTAACGACACGTCGAGCGGTCCGGAAATTCGTTCCTTGCGCGACTTTGGTCGAAATGCGTTGACTAGTGTCAGTTTCAGGAAACAGATGTTGCGAATACTTGACGCACCAACAATGTTTGAAACTTCTTTCTGTTTGTTTCATCAGCATTCACAATCACTTTTGACAGTTTTCCAAGGGATGCTCTTCCTGAGAGTCGACCTTTGGCTTTAACAACATGAGATGCCATGGGACGCTAGCCATCAGCAGATATGAAGTGTGACCAAATATTACATTACATATTTCCCTTCGTGAATGGGATGTGATCATTTATAAGGTTGCCTAAACTGGGAACAAGCGCGTAAATTTAAAAAGATTTCTCTCTTCCTCTTTTCAAAAGGCTTTTGGAAAATGTATTTTTTTGCAAAGCAATTGCACAATTTTTGATAAGGATTTAAGATAATCGAGATTACAAACTAATAAATTTTTGAAATAATTTAGAACAGATAAAAAGATTCTATATATTTTTTTTTCTTCTATTATTTGTCATTATTTATAAGCTTATAGGGAACAAAATTTTCAAACATTGCATCTCCATTTTTCTATTATATCTTTTTCTTGCTTTACGTGAAAATAAATTTCAATTTTAAGAGAAAATTTTACATTAATTGTCTTTTATTTTTTTTGTATGTACATACAATAGATATTTGAAAATATTTTGTTGCATATATTACGAGAGTAAGCTCTATTATTATTATTATTACTATTATAAATTATTATTATTATTATTACTATTATAAATTATTATTATTATTATTATTATTATTATTATTACTATTATAAATTATTATTATTATTATTATTACTATTATAAATTATAAATTATTATCATTATTACGATTATCATTATTATTATTATTATTGTTATTATTATTATTATTATTATTATTATTATTATTATTATTATTTATACACACACATACATAGACGATGAGCTTGAAATGCGATCAATAGCAATATAATACCGTAATTCGAAGCAACGTTAATTTGAAATCCGCTAAACCTTTTGTGCACCCTTCCAATATTTTTTGATCCTCTTGATTTACTGGATTTGCATTCATTGTCGCCTGAAAAGCCGATACAGCTGGAAATATCATTATTTCCATTTCACACCGTTTGAAAATTTGATAATCTCTCTCTCTCTCTCTTTCTCCCTCCCCCCCTCTCTCTCTCTCTCTCTCTCTCTCGTAATTGACTTGGCTCGCAATAAATGACCACGACCGATGGTGATTACTGTTCTCGCGAATGTAATGAGAGGATTAAAACAACATTGCGCTCTCATTGTCGTATTTAATTATTAACGATATACAGAGGAGGAGGGCCACGCGATCCAGTATACGTGCATTTTATTGACCGATCAAACAATAGGATTTCATATTTGCACGCGTTCGCGAATGACACGCACACACGATGTAATGACGACGATTTAAGAGCGCTCTCGCAATTACATGATTAAATCGGGCACATTCGGTATACGAGTTTACAGCGGTACACACAATTGGGTGATAACACGTAAATTTGCTATCGGATATTCGCGTACAAATGACCGTACATTCGCGCATGGCGAGAATAATAATTTTGTAATAGTAATCTGCGCGCAAGCAAGAATATTATCGGTTTCGTGCCGATAGTTTTTTTATTAAATTCGATATGTTTATTGGGATAGTCATCGCCGCATGAATAATCACTACTGCGATTAATTGGCTGCAATTAATTAATTCACGTGATTCGACTCGTAAGCGTATGAAATCTATCCATTATTTTATCAGTGATTTATTCACTTGTAAAATAGAAATCAAAGCAGAAAAGGATTAAATTATTCTATTGTGATATTTATAACCGATATTTCTTTTTTTTTCTTTATAATACTTGGTTCAAGTTTATCTCGCATCGACACATTCGTAATTCATTAATAATACGTCACGCTGGATTTACGCGTTTGAAATGTATGCGATATGAATTCGATCGCGATTATCGATGTGAAATTGGCAGCTCTATTCAAGGTGAAACATCATGGCGATGGAAACAGAACGAATACGGTATTAAGATAAAATAACGCGACGCGTTTCATTAATAAATAATATCCACAACATCCATTACAGTGACTTGTGACATTCATCGTTCGCGTATCTTAAAAATGCATCAGTGACTTGTGAAGATGCATATTTCGCGAGATTTATTCCATCTAAATATATACATATATCCAATTCATAAATCTCTCACGCGAACAGTCGGAAACAAATGGTTATATACTATTTTTCTCAATATATATTTCATATTTACAAATATTCTACAGAATATTTATTTTTTATATTAATTCATTTATATCATTTATAAAGCGAAGTAATTAAAACGCGAATATATATTATTTTCTATTTGAAGCATATGAAAAAATGCACGAAAGTGCAGGGCAGGAGCAACAGGTGTAGCAACATTGACGTATCGGCGTGAAATTGGCCGCGCGCTTTTCGAATTCCGTTCATGACGTCATGCGAGATCTGTCATTGCAACGCGCATACGGTCCGAACGGATCGTAGCTTCGTAAAACGCGTAACTTTCGCGTTATTCCTTCGCCGTATTGTGATAAAACACGCGTCTCATGCAATTAATATGCAGAGAAGTGCCGCGTAAAGTGCCGCGTAAAGTGCAGTTAGTGATTAATGTACGCGCAATTGTGTTTTCGCGAGTTAATCGTGTACGAGGAGTGTCATGGCGGTCCAGCGAAAAAATTGAAAGAGGAATAAATTAAGGAGATGCTGCAACAACGACAAGTGGAGTGAGTAATATATAATCTACGTAATTTGTCATTTTTTTTACTCATGAAGCATTAATCGATCTCGTATCTTCAGTATGTCATTTTTACATTAATGTGTGTATAATATATATAATGCTTAAATAAAAAAATATTGTATATTTAAAATACTTATACATATATGAATATATCAGAAAAGGAAAGTGACTTTTAATGATTTTTATGAGATAATTTTATAATATATTATCAAAACTGAGATAGAAATATTAAAGAGACCTTTAGTTAAGACTCTTTAAAAAATATCAAGAAATCAATTGTCATTGTAACATATTTCTTGATGCATTTTTAAATGTTTTGTTTAATTTATTCTTGATTTGTCTTCTGTTCTTGCCTTTCGTCTATTTAGTTTCTTCATATTTTTCAGTTGATATCTTTTATATCTTCTTTCCGTTTTTGCTCACAATGCTCACAAACACGTTTTAATTTCATTAATTTTTATACTTAATATAGTAATTTGCTTTTAAATATATAAACACATTTATATCGTAATTCAAATACTTTATGATATGTAAAAAATTAATATTATTAGATTTTCAAAATTTTCAACATCTCTAATATATATTTTTGCGAATAAAAAGTTTAAAAATATCATAATATAATTATGTATAAAATATATTACTCGCTTGTATTTTTCTATATTTAATTAATATTTATTTTTTGTAATATAAACAAGTAATATACTTTGCAATTTGATGAATCTTTTGCGATTTTATAAAATGAATAATCTATTCAATATGATTTCTTCAATACTTGAAAAAATAATATAAAAATTTATAATTCTCATAAAAGATTAATAGTATATATATATAATGATTGATGATGATTGAATAGCATTTTTTAAATATCCACATATACATATGAAAGATATATTTAACGGCGATATGCAATTCTTATTTATTAAATAAAAAGAATAATTATAATTTAATAAATAAGGAATCAATTCTGAATTTCTTGATGGGATATGAACTCTTCACAGTATGATCGGGTGAAAATAATGATAGACGTCGCAGTGAAATCGAATAGTAAATCGTTTATTAGTACGAAGGTGTGTGATAGTGTCTCGAGATTGCCGTCTCGGGGCCGCCGACATTTCGTGATTAACAATACCGGGCCGCGATGTCGTGATACCGTGACGTGAACGAGTGTGACAGAGCTTTTTCTTGTTCCTTAGCTGAGACGTAAGAGATAGATGTTAGAACTAGTTACCCTGTTCTGCGAGCTGGTGCCGCGCTCTTCCGTCTACGTCGACGATTCTGGCCGATCTTCCGCGAGGATTCTCCTCTTCGAGAATCCTCCTCGCAGTCGATCGACCTTTGATCAATCTTCGATGCAACAGCGAATTTAATGGTATCGATACTTGGGCATTGATGTAGATTAAGTTATCGTAGTTCGAGCAAACTTCACCGATAGGATCTCGCGTTGAGCAAGTTGCTCGCGCTAACCCCTGACTAGTGATTCGAGTTGAATCGTTGATGAAGTTAGATCAGACTAAGCAGATTTAATTCGCAAAACATCGGAGCAAAATCAGATAAAACGCTCGCAAATCGCACATTTAGCGCTTTCAATGAGACAAGAATAATCCTTAATCTAGACATCAATCGTTATATAATTGATAAACAGAGTTGAATTTTTATTGATTTAAAAAATGAAGATGACATTTAATACATTAATAAGAGATAAGAGAGTTACACAATCACATTTAGAGCTATTATGCGCTATTTAGTTTGGATAAGATAAGAAGGCGAGAGACGAAAGACTTTTTATAGCCATATTTAGCGCTGAATGTAATTGTATAATTCTGTGTGTTTTATTTTTCCAAATTGAAGGCCGCTTCGATAGACAAAAAACTTAATGCGAGATAGAGTTTGGCAGCCGGCTTTAGCGTTAAATGTGCGTTAAAACATGATTTAAAGCATCAATTTTGAGCATTTTCAGCGTGACGGAAGAGCGAAACGCCCGTGCGAGCTAACTTTCAAGAGATGCTACTTGTTACCTCCTTTCTAGGAGATACTCTAGTGCCTATGTTATTGTGTCCTCTGTTCTGCCTATAGCGCTAAAACCGCCGCTAAGAATTAGCGGTACCGAAGTATGCAGAGGAGGGGTGGTGGCGAAAAGTGTGCCTTCCATCCCCTCGAAACGCAATAATAAATAATAATAATAATAACTTCGCGATTCGTATACGCGTTTGAAAGGTATAAAGAAACGTTCTTTCTACCTCTATAACTTTCGTTCGTACATTATCTTTTTTATTTCTCTTTTTTTCTTTTCTCTTTCTCTCCTTCTTTCTTTCTTTCCAATTGCTCACTTATGTTTCTGCTCTGCAAGAGCTAAGTATCCTTGCACACATAATACGGGAGAACAATAAAAGGTGTCGAGACAGTGAACGAAAGACAACGATTTTACAAAAATGAAACATTTCGGCGCACAAATTTCTCATGCAATGATCCAGTAGTTCGCGTGCAAATTTTTATATAAATTAATTTAAAATATAAATTAATTTGTTTATTAAATATTAATTTAATAAACAAATTTATAAAATACATTTAATTTCGTGGCGTAAAAATTTTTCAAATAAATTGTACATTGTCTACAATTTTATATAATGTTTTTGAAATTTGAATGGATAGCATAAATAGATAAGATTTTTTCTTTCAGCCATTTTTGGGTAAATATCATTTCAAGAAATTCAAGGTCCGAGATATTTTACGTTGTTTCGCATTCAAGTGTGTGCAAATCAAATGGATAAATCGACGAATAATCTATGTACAATTACAGAATATATATACATATATAAAATGAATAATACATGTACATTTTCTTTTTTCGGTTTATTTTTTTCAATATACGATGCTTTTGGATCATTCATGGTCTCGCGTACATTTCCCTCACTCACTCACTACACTCGATATGCAACAATTAATTGCGGTTTTTGTAACGAAGATCCGCATTCGATCGAAACTTTTCCGTTCGCTTAAATAAAAACAATAATAACTTAAACTTTCTGCAGACATATCATACAAGCTATGCACAAGAATAAAATAAAACAACATTGCGAAACATTTAATCAACATGGACGTAATAAGATACGAAAGCGTGTAATTCTGCCTCTTGCGTTTCCTCAATTTTTATTTTTTTCTCTTTCTCTTTCTCGTTCTAGGATTTCCCTTCGAATCTTTCTCGATCTTCGCCTTATATTTTCGCGTTATGCGCATTCTTTGATTGTATGCAGTGTTTCTTTTTGATGACTCTCGTCGCGATAAGTACACACTGTACATATCTATTCTTTTCTTTTCACTTTTCACTCTCGCGCTCTAGTCAGTCATGCTCGCGCAATTATAACTTTTTTATTCGGCTAGAATATACTTCCTGAGGAATGATGAGAGCTGCCTTAGCTTAATTTCAGGAATTGAGCTAATTAGCCAATTAGAAATTTCGCTCCTGGTGTGCGTGAGAATAATCTAACATGTTCGAAGAATTCCAAATGCAATTTACGAAGTCGTTTCAGTACGATTCGTCATCGTCTTAACTCATTAATTAAATAGTAAATTAAATAATATTTTACTGATAAGCTGCTCGCAGTTTGTCGCAAGAAAGTTGACGAAAGAAACAACGTTTCTTTACTAATTAAATTAGTACAGAATTATTCAACTATTTTATGCTTTCTTGATTAATTTAACTCATTTACGAAATCTATAATTTACTAAGAGCATGAAATATTGCAAGAAAATAATCAGTGATAAATTGATAATCCTTAGACTGATGAAAATGAAGCGCAGCCTCATTTTACTTGCGCAATTTAAATGTAAGATGTAATGATAAAAATAAATTTGAAGGAGCGAGAATTCTACGTTATTGCTATATTTAGAATAATTTAAGCGAATAATCGACAGCATGACTCTCGAGAGCGTCACATTAGCATAACTTTACTGGTAATGTTGCGCGATTAACAAATTTCTTTGCCGTGCAATCTGAACTTGCGCAAATCGATTTTCTCATATAAAAACATAAGCGATTGTTGTCTCGCTTGATTTCGATTCACACGAGTGAATTATTATTAGCATTAACGGGATATTATTTTTGGGGACTGCACCACAGGGCCGGCACTCTGATTAAGATATTTCCAATGATGCTCTTATTTTATGTGTAATTTTTAGGTAATTTGCATTTCATCAAATATATATACATGTTAGTGATGAAATTATTGATGAATAATTAATGAAAATACTAGAGATTTTAATTTCTATCATGAAAATTTTAATTAATTGCACGGTTTCGTATAATACAATTTTCTTAAAATTTTCTCAACATTTAATTTATGTTTATTTAATTTGATAACGAGATTAAATAAGAATTGCATCGAGCGAATTGTAAATCTATTCTTTTCATGATAGTACTATTTTGAGCCTCGCAATTTTTTAATATTTTGCACCGGCCCCGCTGTGTCGATCGCGCAAACTACCCTAATCTCTCCCGTCGTTCGTACATATAAAATTATATTTACAACAGAGTGATTATTTCTTTATGTTGAGGTATTCGCGTCTAGGCGCGTCTAAAAAGAGAGCGTGCACTAATTCGAGGAGCGAGAGGAAGGCTCGCGAGAGGACTTCCGCGAGAGACTTTTCTTCTCACCTTCGTCCTGCTCGACTCATCCTTCGATTCTCTCGCTTTTGAAAAGGGGGGAAAGATATAATGAATTCTCCTCCCTTCGCTATCTTTGTCGCGTTTGTCGTGATTGCGACGCGCGCGCCTGCCGTTACAAATAATTTAAAAATTATATTTTTATCATATTTTTTTATAATCTCTTTTTGTGTCTCTTTCTTTCTCTCTGTCCTCCTCTTTATATATAGTTTTTTTATGTATATATTAAATTTTATTTTTGTTTTCTCTCGTTCTTGCACGCACGGGAAAAAGATCTCGGTAACGATATAGTTATAGTACAACTATACTACACACGGGTGGAACTCTTCCTCCCGGCTTTCTATTTACATGGCTCGCCGTTTACTTTCTTACACGTGCGGTATGTATAAAGTGATAGCGGTATTTATACGATGTACTAACATGCGCCTGTATATCCCTCGATCACTTTCCTTCTCACTCTCTTGTCGCCTTGTTCTATATATCGAAAATTCGAATAATTTTGCACCCCTGGCTTCTGTCACTTTGTTTCGTTGTATAAAAACTATTAATATCTCTACATTTTATATAATTTTTTTAAGTTTTTTTTAAATCTAACGTCGACTAGTTTAGTGCACCATAATTTATTAGATATTTTCTTCTTTGCATAAAACTACATATTTCTGAGGTATAACAAACGAGAGAATCTAAAATTATATTACATAAAGTTACATATAAAGATTGACGTAATCTAATGGTCCAATGTTGTCAAAATTAATTATATATTCAACCAATTATGACATTTCTTTTCTACAGCGGGACAAAGTAACAGTACTGAGGAACAAGTTGCCGACTTGCAACAATTAAAGCGTCCCGCGAATCCGTGCGACTACCGATCGAAAATCATTGATATCGACATATATATACATAATAACGTAACCGATCGCAATAATAGTATGCTTAATAATGCACACGAATAATTTGCGCCATTCGCACGCGGGTCTTTGTCCGCAATAAAGCCGTTTGCCAAAATGGCAGTTCGAAACAGAATTGCATGCCGTGATTTCGATTCATGAATTTTCCATAACACGGTTTCCGTTACGTTATTAACGATAACAATGTCGATTTCGTCTGCGAAGTTGACCGCGGCAATTGCTTCCACGAGAAAGCAATTTGCATTGCGAGAAAGAGCTGAATTGAACTACGAAAAGAGAATTTTTATGATCATCAATGGCTTTCGATGTCAAAACAGATGACACGAGTTGCATACGCGAAGCAAGCTTCATCGAAAAGCTTTTTCGAGATGAGAAAGAGCGTTTTTACTTTCTCAAAGATAAAGTTTCCCTACAGCGCTTTTTATTCTCTCTTTCTCTGTTTCTCTTTATCCAGCAGCCCTTATATGGTTCTACGCAATGCTTTTAGAAATTACAAAAATAAAAGACTCGCGCGGCGCTTGAAATCTCTGGCTGTAAAAGCGCGAATACGTGCTTACATGTGTAATAGTGTACTAGTCATGTGCTAGTCATGCATGGCAACTATGGTCTTTGACATCTTTCATGCACGTTGGAGTCTAAATAAGATCCATTTGGGAATGGTTTCTTACAAATATTCTCGCATCGATTTATTACACTATACGTTATATATGTTTTTATGGAAAAAAATTTTCCGTTTAAAAAGATTGAGGTTGAATTAATTTATTATCACCAGTTTACTTGGCCAGGTCAAGATCATTAATAGTACATACTTCAGTCCAAAATTTGAAAGATTAAGAAAAGAATATATTTATTATAATAATTATTAAATCATCTCTATTCTGCTAAGCTTGATGAAATAATAAACTTTCTATTTAGGTACAAGATATTTGTTTGGTATTGGATTTCGATTTTGGAATATCGCTTACATTTCCCTATTATACAGTATCCAATACAGTATACAATGTATTGATTGTATATAATTGAAACTAAATTTTATTTTATTTCTTTTTAATTTGATATCTCCTATTTTCTCGCGCAAAAATAACAGAAAGTGTAATGCTTGTTGTGCTGATTGATCAGATTCCAACGTGCATATATCGTTCTTTCTTCCCTCTAGAATTACAGTATGTTTCAAGGATTCAATGTTACTCTATCACGTGCGTGCATTTATTATTATATCTCGAGAATTTTATTGCGTGTGTATAGATGCTTAGACGAGGTTTTCTAAGCTGGTACGAAGAGTGATTATTATTGGACTAGAAACGCGGCATAATCGCATAGTACCGTCTTAATGTCGCCTGCCGTGCATGCGATCGGATCCGCTCCTTCGAACGGGGGGAGGGGGCTCGGAAATCTAATTATAGGTTTCGTAGTATCAAAGTTTGTACGAAACTTGTCGGCCGGGTAAACAGGCCCGGTCGTTTAGGATAGGACTGGCAGTGGATCGGTTAATTTGACCACGAAGCATCTCGGCACTAACTTGATCCGCAATCTGTGCAATTTAATTTAAACAATCTTGTGTTTAGCCTAAAAATATAATATGTGAATTTTCTATAAAAATGTCACATCAGACTTAAAAACCTGTATTATTTTCTCTCACAGATTTTTAAAATATAGTATTAAAATCATTAGTTAGTAAATCATAATTTCATTCTTGATACATTTTATATTTCAGATTCGCAGTGCTATTTTACCTCACCATCTATTAATACTATTTCAACTTATACATATTATTTTAAATATTTATTTTGAATTTATTTTGAAAATTAATGTTACATTTTAATACTTGGCGAATAATCAAGTATTTCGCGCGATTGTTTATTTGCAAAATTGTTTGCGGATCGCTCGAAAGGGGTAATAGGATTGATCGTCTAAAGTGACTTCAGTACTTTTTCTTTGTGATTGGTAGTCGCACAATTTGCGGGCGACGACGAGGACGAGAACGACTCGTTCAGATTAACGCATTATTTCTCTCTACGTATAAATTACAAACGATTAGACTAAAAAGATAAAAGTAATTGTTAGCGTCCTTTGGTAGCAGCCTGAGTCTCATTAGATTACAAATAAATTTGTTAGATAGTCTTGCAATAGTATCGGCTACATGTATAAATCACTAAGAGATCACTGCGTTCCTGTCGTCCTAATCTCGTCACTTGCTCGCGAATTTCTTCGCTCCGACTATCGAATCAAGTCTATCATGTGAATATATCACGGTCGTCACGATTCGACCAGCCGTAGTAATCAGAATATCCTTATTGACTCTTAACCGTGGACGTCGAAGTATCAAAATACAGCAGTTTAGCACAGCCGAGTCGGCATCAGCCGCTTTCTCTATTAAACGTGCTCGTCAATCCATTGTGACTGGTGGCAGAAAGACTTTTACAATCTCTCATCGTCTCTCTCTCTCTTTCTTTTCTCAACAAGAGTACATTTCGAGGAGAATACGCTCGGTCCTCCATTAGGACATAATGTAGTCCGCGGAATGATGCGAGTGATGCGAGTTTCGGTGCTTGTCCCTGCGATGATTCGTCCGGGAGTTACTGCCGCGGGTGCCGCTGGTACCGGTGGTGCCGGAGGTGTGATGACTGTAGCCACTATCGCTGCCAAAGCTGCTGTCAGGTTGACCCTGGTACAATCTGCCAGCAGTAGTCACTTGATCACACGCTGCGTCCCGGGTCGAGTTAGTGTAATACACTGGCTGGCTGTACTTGTCGTCGCCGAAGAGTCGGTCGGTCGGCTGCGAGTACGTATCCGAATACTCGCCGCCCACCTGGGTGTAGAGTGGCGTCGTGACATCGGACTGACTCTGCAGGCCGTAATAATCGCCGCCATACTGCTGCTGCTGTTGCTGCGACGACGATAGGTACTTGTACTTGTCGCTGCCGGACGATTTGATGCTGCGGGACGAGCGCTCCTTGCTACTTCTGTTCTGGCTAGAATAGCGATGCAACGGACCTAGAACCGGCACGCTTTCGTACGGGTTCTCCTCGAGCCGCGGGGCTTGTGCTGCCGGCAAAGGCGGCACGAAATACGGTAACCTGTGCGCCACCGATGGGACGGACTGTTGACGTTGGGCGATGTTGTTGCCTGTTCGAGTACCGGCCACACCTGAAAGCGGAGATTCAAATCAGTCAAGATTTGCATTTAATTTATTACGAAATTATTCTAGAATTAGATCGAAAATTAGAAATAGAAAATAATTAATATTCGGAAATTCAGATAAGAAGATAAGAATAAGGCTGAAGAGTTAATGAGAGAGTTTCAGATTATGAATTTATCAATAATTTGACATGAAGAAATAGATAAAATATTTATACATATGTAAATTAATGAATTAACTCAATAAATTCCGAGTCAAAGTATCCATGTACAAATAATAACACACGGTGAGTAGATGTAAACAATAAAACAGCGAACAGTGGGATAAGTAGAAATACTCGAAGAATGTAAAAAGTATGAGAAAAAGAAATAACATCGATGGGAATCTAGAGAATATAGAGAACTATATGTCGTCGATCAATAACAGTAAATATCTACAGCGTGAGGAAGAGCAAATATCGTTGTTAGTTTAACGCCCCTCGCAATTACGAAGTTTTTCGAGCGACATTTACTTTCTTCGAGTAATATTTCAACCGAAATGTCTATCTCTATCGTCTTCTCTCGCGTATTTCTTTCCATCCCTTTGCTAAAGTGTCATTATGATTTAATCGTCTGTTTACCCGCGACGCTAGGATAGAGTTGAAGCAGCGCGTCCAGCAGCATGCCCTCGTGGAACTCGCCCACATCGTGATTTTTGTCCCGTCTGCGTCTGTCGAGACTTCTGGGGCTGCGACCACGTCGCTCGCGTGGTTGCCTGCCACCAGCGGGACACGTGCCCCAGACAGGACCACCGCTCGAGGTGAGCATCCTCGCCTCGGACGGTTCTCCCATCGACAGCTCGTCCTCGGCGAACTCGTCCTCGCTCGCTGGCTTGGATGCGTTGGACGTGCGGTGATGATGACGATGATGATGGTGATGGTGATGTAGACGATTGCGGGCGTTCAGCTCGCTCTCCTCGTCCGTCTCCGGATGGTCCCCTGCGGAGTAGAGGGATTCGTTAGAATTTACTTAGCGCCGCGACGATGGAAAGGGGAAGGAAGGCAATTAATCGCGAATAAAATCTGCCCGACAATCGAGCAAGATTAATTAGACGTTGAGAAACTAGAGTATTCTTCGTGGCAAACGCGCGATGAGAATTAATCAGGCGGGTAATTAGAATCTTCCTGAGGAGATAAATTATTTAGAAAAGTGAGAAGACTACGGGAGAGATGTGGGGATTATTTCATGTACGGTGACTTACGAAATTGACCAAGTGTCTTGAAAAAATATCGTATTTAAATATGTATTAATATGTATTATTAAAAATTATTTGTATACAGGGTGTATCTGAAATGATGCAAAACTTTAGGAGCGTATTCTAGAAGTCAAAATAAGACTTTTTTTTCTTATGAACATGGGTCCATAAATGAACTCCCCTCCGAGCTAAAATTCGAAAATGTGTGAAATTGACCAAACACCCGCAACGCAAATTTATTTATCTCTCAAGAGAGGGTGACAGGTAACGTCAAAACCTTTTTTTTCTTAAATATAGCCAATTTTTTTCCCTAAACTTTTTTTCCCTAAACTTTAGAGGATTCCAGCTCGGAGGGGGATTTGCGGATCCATCTTCATAAGAAAAAAAAGTTTTATTTTGACTTCTAGAATAGGTTCCTAAAGTTTAGTGCATCATTTCACATATCCTGTATATATGTATATTTCTCTCTGGTAATATACACTCTTGATAAAACAAAGTTTCATAAAATTCTTTTTTTAACATGTTAAGGGAAAAAAAGAGCGTATAAAAAATTTTTAAATTTTTAAAAATAAATTTTTTTTTTTAATTTTTTATACGCCCTTTTCCTTTTCTCTTATCATGTTAAAGAGAGAATTTTATGAAATTTCGAAAACGTTTAATCAATTTCGTAATCGTGAAAAAAATCGAATTTTTTTAAGAGGACATCTCACATATAATCTCATGCTAGCTGCTATTGCAACATCATTCTCTGCTAGACGTTGATTGAAAAACAACTGTGTCCGGAATAGAAATTATTTCCTCCAATCACGAGAAGCGAAGGATTTGGCTTCGCTTGCAGGAACAAGATGGATCGTAAGCTCGAATCTCATTTAAAACAAAAAAAGCGCGTCTTGAACGATCGGAGATTTTGCCGTTAAATCGTCGGAATAACCCACACGGTCCATTTCGGCCGATATTTCGGCGTAACCGAGGGAATTCGATTTCGCGCAGGAATTTTGCTCGTCGATTCGGCTACGCGAACGCGAGGAACGGTCGTCTCCTCCGTTAATTGCCTCGCGTTATTCCGTCGAACACGAGCGTTCGGCCGCGATCGATACTAACGACACAGCGGGGCGTGTACGCGGGCTAAAAAAAAATTGGCGAATGTCGTACGAATAATCGCGGCGCGACGTAAAAAAGAAAGGAAAAAAAAAGCGATATACGTTCGGAATGTCGAGCTCGCGCGGATTCGCGGCCGCGATCGATCTCGCGAGAAATCGCACGGGCTCGTTGGATTAATTTTTATGCCGCGGCGGAAAAGACGAAAGCGAAGAAAAAAAGAGTGTATCGTTACATCGAACTGTTCTCGAGCAAATCTGGAGATGTTATTAGGCCCTTCTATTCTCAGACTCTGTTGAATCGCTCGAGGTAACCTCTGTCATCTTGAGCGAGTGTCCTCTCAAAATATCCTCCGGTGTGTTTCCATGGAGAGATAGGAGGGTGACTCGTTAACGAGTCGATTCCGACCGAGATATCCTGATTCTCAATTTCCATCATCGAATTTCCGAGCAAACAGCGCGATACGTTATTAGCCACAACAGCTTCGAGACAGATCAAATAAATTTATATATAAATAAATCGTATACGAAATAATTGTTTATTATACCTCAATTTTAAAATATAGGTCAACTCCGTGTATGAAATATATTTTTTGTTTTCGTAAAATAATTTTCAGACGCTTCGAAGAGTAAGTTACAAAATTATTAAAAAAAGATACAAGAATATACATATATATTTATGTATGATGGTAGAGAAATGTAGCTTTATGAAAATTATTGAGATTATAAAAATTATTTTCCCGGGAATTATTTTATCCGAAGTGGAGAATTTCATTTGACACACAGATTCAATTTGATCAATTCCATGAGTGCGCGGGTTATCATCCTCGTCGACGTGATCGTCGAGCGAATCTGAACGATCCGTTCAATTCCCTAGCGTTTTTACGAGCCCGCGAGGGACAGGACCACCCCCTTTGAGATCGATGTTCTCTCTCGTCTCGAAACTGGAGAACGACGACGCATACATAGCGTATACACACGCGGGTCGGGCTCGTGGTTACGACTAATGCACGCGGTGCAGCATGTATATTCGATTACCGGGTCCTCGTCAAACGTCGAAAGCCTCATCACCATACTAATTAGCCGTCCAACTAATGGGAAGTATAAGTCAGAGGTCGTGTCACGCTTATCTCCCTTCGGTAAAATACACGATGGCACAGAAGAGCTACGGGAGGGAACGCTACGGAAAGAAAGAGAAGACGACAGAAAGAGAGAGAAAAAAATGATGAGTTTATGGGAGAGAAACAGACGAAAAGATGTAATGTAAAACTGCACTCATCAAAATCTCTTGAAATGAGTTCGGATTGATACATGTGTATACATATGTGTATATATATATATATATATATATATATATATATATATATATAATATATTTACTATAATACATAAATCTTGGAGAGAATTGAATTAGTTTTGTTGTTCATCATGTGATTTTTTTTTATATCGCAGAGTGTATATTTTATAGATTTTTATAGATATTTTATAGATTTAGAAATCTCTCATGGATTCTTGAATTTATAGATTTTCGAGCATTAGATATACTTAAATTACTCTTATAAATTTTTAATGAATGCTTGTATATTGTTCTTAATGAAGAAACTTCGGATTCGTAGATTTGTGATTCCATAGATAAAAATCATAGAAATTTATATTTACAAATTTTCTCTTTTACTATGACTTTTCTAATTTAAAAACTTATCTCGGAGCAAGTCCATGTTTTCATCCGTAAACATTTTACCGTTCTCATTTTTTGTTCAAAAGTCTATTCTTTTGCAATCTCGTGAGATTCATATTATATAATACCGCAAATTCATCGAATTCCGCAGATCTTACATTCGTAAAGTGTATTTTTGCGATACGCAAATTTTCACGTGTCCTTGAAAAGTTTCATCGATTCTTTTTGTCCCATAAATGGATCTTTCTACGATTCGCGACATGCGTGAATTTACCGGATTATTCTGATAAATGCAGTATCTCACAGAATCAGAAGGGAGAAGGACGGGCGAAAGGAGGGAAGGGGACCAACGTGGAGGTCTCACAAGCGCGCGTTAGTCGGGATTCAACGCAGCCGTATGTTAATCGTGTGTTAAGCCAACCGACAGACGGACACACCGTTGAAAACTCTCGTATACTCATGCCATACCTATGCGTTTGCCGCGGGCATGTTCGATCCCGAGGATACTCCGTTACTTGCATCTTCAAAGGCGAGTCTCATCTAGAAGGAGAGTGCGTAATTTACGTCTGCATGTGAACGTTTTCAACGCGTCACCGAAAAGACGACGGGACATCTTGACGATTTTGCTGGGATTCTTTTTTTATCCATCGTAATTTTTCGATTCATCGAATAGATAATATAATTAAGCGATTTTCTACATATTTCTTTTTTATTTTAAATTCAGTTTGCTTGAGCTTTATTTATATCTTTACTTGTTTCTTCTTTTTATCGCCCTGCCTTAGTTCGCACTATCTCGCTAAATGATCATCAATCGAAAGAATCTTAAATAAAATATCATAATATTTCTTCTAAGTTTTTGACGAATTCTCTGCCCAAATAATGTACGCGCAAAAAAAGGAACAGATTGCGAATTTTCAAATTCATCTAATTTAAGTCTAATTTTTGTTTTTTAAAATTAAATCTTTTAATGAAAATATTTTTAATTCTTCCTTTTCTCCATCGCCGCATTGTTGTTCTCGAGATCCTCCAGTGCGATGTTCCCCGTAAAAAGACCGCGCACGTAAAAGGAGACGCTTGAGCAAAGCCGTCCAAAGTAAACATCGATTATCGGCACTTACCGTTGCTGAGCTCCTCGTAGACAGGATTATAGAGGTCCTGCGATGTGTAAGGATCAGGACCGGGGCTACTGCAGACGAACACCCCTCTTCCACTTTCCTTGACGTCCAACATCTGCCGTGATAAGAAAACTGTCAGTTAGAAAAAGAGGAATAACACACGACGCAAAAAAAGAAAGAAGTGTATATAATTATTTATATTTTTTTTTCATAAAATATACCGCATGTTGTTAAATGATATGACGTATATGGCGTACTTGCAACTTTTATTTATACTTACACAAATAGGATGGAAGACACAAATAAGTGTCGCAGAAAAAACAAAAAAAGTCGATCAGCACCGATAGTTTTTTAAAACATGAATTATTGAAAATTGAGGAGATGCGCCTTGTGATTAATTTTACGTTCGATAAAATCTCAATTTTATAAATTATGCACCGTTTGAGGATTAAGACCGCCGCCATTTCCCTCGCTTTGCGAAGTTGAAGGGTAATTAGTCGCGAGTTGTGACTAAAAATGGGTCAGCTCGTTACAAACGAGCCCAGGTTTTGCGTTGTTTTACGAGGCTCTTTACGAACGGCGACTTGTTTACGACGGCGTTGGAAAACAATTAGCGAATAAAGGAAAGGGACGCGGGGTAGCGAGATCGAAGAGGGGGAGAGGGGACCGGGGGAGAGACGTTGAGAAGAAACTCAGAAGCGAGGTGGTAACTGGCACGAGCGAAAACCTTAACACTCTTTCGGCTTTGTGTTTTCCGACGATTAACTCGTTCCTATTGCTTCACCCTCCCTCCCATTTTCCTTCTCGATGAAAGCTCTCGAACTCTCACCCTTCTTATCTCGGGGATTTCAACCCCGGAAACGCTGACTCGGTCAACGGAAGCGAGGGTGTCGAAAGTTAATCCCCAAATTGGCAGAGAGTTTATACATCACGGCAGAATAATAAGAAACAATCTCGCCACAAGATTCAACCCGACGATTAGTCTTGTTTTCGTTGACACTCTCGTCAGGTTGGGTGATTAATTTTCGCGCGTCAATCACTCGGCTCGATGGAATTTTAAATGTCTCGCGGAAGATGTCAATACTCGTTGAGACCATCCAAATCGAATTGTCAGTCAATCGCATTTTTCTTTTGTGTGAGATTAATTAAATATTTTATCATCGGATCACACATACGTCAGAAGAATTCAAGAGATCGGACAGTTCCTCTCTTCGTCGCAGAACACGAGGGTCAATCGAAACGCTCGATTGGCGGCAGAGGGAAGCGCATATAACCGATACACGACATAATTGCGGACGCGAATGGTTTAATCCCTTCACCTCGAGTTAGAACTCGTCGTCGCAACAGCTCGTCGTCGCAACTGGTTTCCTCTCTTCGTTACGACCGATGGTTTGCGAGGCGAATTTGCCACGGGCTTTGCTCTTCGATTCGACCAGAGTATCGCGTTAACGGACGCAAATGGCGCGCTGCGATCCCCAATCTATCTCGCTCTATCACTTCGCTCGTCGGGGATCCATAACGTTCTATGATCCCGCCGGGATACCATTCACACACACGGCGATTGAAATTCCGCTCTAATTTCTGGGAGCTTAATTTCTCGTACGATGGATATCGAATATATTTCTCGAGTGCCAAAAAATGTGGATTTTGTTTCATCCCTGGAGATTTAGTCGCGAAGGTACATAATGCTAAAGATTGGAAAAATTGCACCGTTTACAGAGGAAAAATTCCACGTCAAATTGATTGTGCAAAATCTTGAGAGATCAAATACTCGTGTGTTCAAATGTCCTTCTATCACGTCTAAAAGTTACACAGTCTTTCCGATATAATCCCGATATCTTTATCCACCGGAAACTTTTCCACCCCACATGCGATCGAAAGAGCTCACGATTGCAAATGTTAATTTAGAACGTTTTCTCCTTCGCGAGGAATTTTTTTTTACCTCGCGCGAATCCTAATGTCATCTCGCGTAAAATAAGACGATTGTGTGACGTAAATTCAACATATCGCGACCCCGTGCGGGGGTTGAAATATCACTGATGGAGTGTGTGGGAGTATCGGGGGGAAGGGGAGTTCACGTCGAGCGCGATGCGGCGTACGTTTCTATCTAAAATTATATCTCCCGAATTGAGTCGCTTCCTGCTCTCCTCGGGCGGATGAATAAATGGATTCGATCGCCGGATGTATCGGTGGTATATATATCGTGTGTCTATTTTTCGTATTCTCGAGATTTGTCGCGGTAAACGTACGATAAATATGGCAAATCTCTCTCTTTTTCTGCTAAATGCGCGACAAAAGCGTGGGTCGAAAGGTCGAATGTCGATTTTATAACACATTGAAAACAAATACTGACAAGAACATCCTGTCGAATTACGTTCAGTTTACGAGGCCAATCGATTCCATTTCATTTTGCGTAGAAATAATCACATGGGGCGAAACAGATTTCATATTGATATCGCCTGATCATGAATGAGGTATTATTTCCCGCGCGCTATCGGTTAGCAACAATATTATGTTGCACAAATCGTACGATGCTATCGAATGGCGAAACCTCATTAAAATTTCTGGCTTGTTCATCTATTTTGTGCAGCTTCATATTTTTATGCATCCTTTCAAATGGCGAAAGCAATTATGAAATAAAATTATTAAAAAAAAATCGTCAGAAATAATATGTAATAATTAAATATTTCAAAGAGACTCTTTCTCTCCACATATTCATTTACACGTTTATCTAAAGATTGAAATGTATGCTTTAAAGCTTGCGTGTGCAGAAGAATTTTATAAACTATCTTTATTTAATCTTTGAAAATTTTCTATTTTCGATTTTACAGCACATGCAATTTTCAATCGGCCTGTATAATTCTCAACTATATACGGAATATTTGCAATATAGTCTACTATTTGCGGATGCAATCGAGTGCTCTAAGACTAGCGAGTGCACAAATTGCCAGACTCGAGTTAACCGCTTGGTTTGCGCGGGGAAAGGAGAAAGGATTGAGGGGCAGAAGCGGCTACTGCAAAGGAAACCGACCGGACTTCTCGCATCCCCCATTGAATTCCCCGAGGCGGTACTATCATACTATCACCGAGAAAAAAACGATCCCTCATTTCCCCCGGATTCGATACTAGCGAGTGCCGGCGGTCTTGAAAGCGCACAGGGGTTTATTATCGTGTTTAGTCTGCGGAAGTCGTCATCGTGGTATTTGCGATTTTTCGACTGTTTAGCTCATTTGGCCCTTATACCTACTAATCTTATATATTTAACGATTCCGGAGAAGCGCTTTGTTGATCATTAAATTTTCCGATATTTGTTTATAAAAATATTTTGATATTGAACAACAGATCCTCAAAAAATCGGAATTATAAATGTGACATTTAATTGTTTAAAATAATCATTGCAAGAATTTATATTTATATTCTTATATTTTTTATATGTATACTTTATATATTTAATTAATGTATAATATAATATGTGTATTTAATATAAAAAAAGGGAAAACTTGAATACATTGAATTTAAATATTTTATGTTGTCGAATTGTATTTAGTTAATTTTGATTTAATGTTAAATAGTTAAAAGCATTTTGTGATATCGAGCCTTCTCTATGTTTAATATCCAACATACATTTGACTGACTTTGATTAATTTTTGAAACATTTTCTTTATAAAACCGAGGCACGATTCTCTCTTTAACTTGTACCAGTGACAAGATAATTTTTACTTAAACGTTCCTCCTATACAGCCCTACCTCGTGCACGAGAAATAGAGTTGGGAGACTCTTGAAAGTCGAATTACGAGTTCGCCAAGTCGCGTGTCCAACCTTCGACCTTTCGGAATTGAGTTAGGCACCATTAGCGCGAGCACGAGATAGAACGAAGGCGGAACTGAGTTCTCTGAATCGAACTTCCGTTCATAGCTCATCTAAACGGTGCAGAATGGCAGGAGGACTTCTCCTGCAGGCGAATAACGAAATTTATTGCACGTTGATTGACAGACTAAATAAACGAAGTCAGAATTGTTGTAAGATATATGATATTTAATTACACTAAACTGAGACCTTTCTTTAACTTTTAACAAATTTTCTCGTTATGTATTTTTATTTCGCGGTTACATCTATACATTTTAAATCTCTTTTTAAATATCTCATCTTGTAAATGTCTCTCTCTTTCAATGTTAATATTAGATTTCTAATAGATTTTCTCTGATTTTATTTGAAAATGTTTGAATTAATTAAATTAAAATAATTTTGCATTTATCGAGAACAGAGGACAGGCGTCGGTTCTGCCCTCGTAAACGCACTAGCGCATTTTTAGGTGAGTTATGCGAGTTGGCAAAGTTCCACACGTTCGGAGAATTTTCAATCTTCCGGCTGAGAAGTTTGATATTCGGCCGGTTTCACTCGGACTTGATTATCCTAATGATTTTACGGTACCCGACGCGAGTCTCACTTGGTCGAAGAAGCGAAACGTATAAAAACGCGACCGACTTTTCCTTCTTCCTGCTCTGCTTTTTCCTCCGTCGATATTAAAATTCTATGTCTGTTATATACGTCTTTTATATAATGACCTGGTGCTCGCGGGGGCCTTTGAAAAGTTGATCGTTTTAATGACCCCGTGGCCCCCGCAGGCGGCGGCGAGCATCTCGCTAAACTTAGATCTTCTCTTGGACGTCGGCGACAGTGCATACTTTAAAACGTCTTAGCTGACATGAGAGGAAGAAAAGAGAAGAAGAAGGGAATGATGGCAGAGGTCGTCTCGTCCTTCCAACTAACTGCAAAAGTTCGCAGTATAAATAAAAAATTGAGGACTTTTCTAAATTAATTTCGACCGATTTAAAGATTTTTTTGAATTAATTTTAATTGAAAAATTCGTGGATTTAATTTTTCGTGGCTAACGAATTTAAGAATATTTGGAAATAGCGATATATTAAAAGCAGCGAAAAATCCATTTATGATTCGTGCCAAATTATGACAACTCCAATAAAAAAAAGACGGTAATTTCCTTCTCTACAACATTTAAATGAATAAACTCATCTCTTTCTAATATCTCATGTTTCTTGGCGTATTACTTCGCGTATCTAAAGAGAAGAAGAAGAGAATGATGGCGAAGATCGCCTC